GTAGACAGGTCATTTGTTTAAATTCACAAAAGCTTCTATAGCCTCAGCTAATTTAAATAATAATGGAAGCAGGTTAGCAGCTTATAAAGTGGCAAGTTGGCAGCATGTACTGGGAGACTTAGAAAATGTTTATTTTCTTCCAGCTAGCTGTTTGACTTTTAGGGATTTACCCTTGGGAAGTAATCAGAGATGCATAAACATACAATGAATGAGGATGCTCATCTCAGCACTATTATATATATTATATATTATTACATATAGGGAAAATTGGAAGCAATCTCAGTGACCACCGTAGAGTTTTGTTAATTAAAATGGGATATGCCTTAATCAGCATGAGGAATTACTAATGAGAGGCTGCTAACTGAAAAAAGCTACTTATAAACCTACAAATATAATGGCTTCATTTTATTTAAAAATTATTTACACATGCACACACATATACACACACACATACACACACTCTGGCTGGTATGATTATGAGTGATTTCATTTTCTTTTTTAGACTTCCATTTTTTTTTCAAATTTTCTACACTGTATTACTTTTATAAAAGAAAAATGTTAACTAAAAACAAAACAAAACATGGTAAGAGCTTGTCCAGCAAAAGCCTAAGTTACATCAACTTTGAAGTAGTTAAAATTGTTCTAGCTCTGAGTGGCTGGAGCAAACCAGCCTAAACTTGTCTATCAGGTTTAGCTCATAATCCCTTGGAATCCCTGAAGGGAACTATTACACAATATCTTCACTTGGAGCATCAGCGTTACATGCGCACATTGTTAATTGACAGAGTAATGGAATATACTCTGCCTTCAGCTTTAACATACATCCTTATGCTTGAATTTCAGTGCAAGAAAGTGCATCTGCTTAATCAGAACTGTTGTGCTGTAACGTAGCACCAGGTACTCAAGTTGATAAAGTACTTGCTTTTGGAAAAGGGAAATCTTACTCATTGACAAAAAAAGAAGTTTTGAAAATCTCTTTTTTATGTGTATTTATTTATTTATTTATTTTTTTTTCAACGTTTATTTATTTTTGGGACAGAGCGAGACAGAGCATGAACGGGGGAGGGGCAGAGAGAGAGGGCGACACAGAATCGGAAACAGGCTCCAGGCTCTGAGCCATCAGCCCAGAGCCCGACGCGGGGCTCGAACTCACAGACCGCGAGATCGTGACCTGGCTGAAGTCTGACGCTTAACCGACTGCGCCACCCAGGCGCCCCTGTGTATTTATTTTTGAGTGAGCAAGCGAGAGAGAGGAGAGGCAGAGGGTCTGAAGTGGGCTCTGCCCTGACAGCAGCAAGCCCGACGAGGGGCTCGAACTCAGTAATAGCTCATGCATGACCTGAGCCAAAATCATGAGTCAGATGCTTAACTGACTGAGCCACCCAGGTGCCCCTGTATTACAGTTTTTAAAAACATTTTTTACATTTATATTTTGGGTAGGTGATACAATCCCATGACAAAAATTCAAAAACCACAAAAAGTATAAAGTTAAAAGTCTCCCTTTCACCTTTGTCTCTTTGTGACTCAGTTCCCCCTCAGAGGCTAACCAGTGCATCATTCTGGAGAGCTGTGCATATGTATCATGCATAGGTATTTGTATAAATTGTGTTTCCTTTTTTAAGATGTAAGTTTGTAATATGCTATGCATACAGAGTGTTGCATCTCGCTTTTTTCATTTCATCTGTGTGGAGAATTTACCATATTTCATCAATTCTAAATGTCCATTCCCCACCCCCCCACACACACACATTTTAACAACCAGAATCAAGATGCATTTCATAATGAGTGGCATCTTAGATTTTATCAAATACTTTACTATGATAGAGCCTCCTGATTTCTTTGTAATCACTGAGTAGTAGTTCATTGTGTGGATGTACATTTCTCTGTTGTTGGGCATTTAACTTATTTCCCATATTTTGCTTTTCACAAACAGCAATGAATAACCTAGTAGTGTATGATTATGCACGTGTGGATTCATCTGTAGATAAATTGGATCAAAGGATATGTGTATTTGTATTTTTGATAGATTAATCTATTGCCCTCAGTGGAGGTTGTCGCTCCCAACAAGGTGTGCAAGTGCTTATTTCACTAACATTTCACTTGCATGGTGTTACCAAGCTTTTGGACCTCTGCCAATCTCCTGGATGGACTGCCCTCATGTTCTCTTAATTGGCTTTTTTCTTGTTATCTGCAAGGTTGGGCATCTATTAATGTGCTTAAGAGTCATTGTAGTTCCTTTTATGTGAACTTTCTGTTAATAGTCTTTGCCCATTTCTCTGATGGATTACAGGCTATTTTTTTAAAAGTGATTTGTAAGAGTACTTTATATGTTACAGAAATTAGCCCTTTGTCTCTGATGTGAGTTTCAGTTATTTTCCCCAGTCTGCCATCTTTGCCTTGGTGTTTTTTTGCTACAAGGAATTTGTGTACGTGTGTGTGGAGTTCACTTTATAAATCTTTGCCTCTAATGCTAATGGGCTTAGTGTTTTTCTTAGAAAGACCTTCTCTTACATTATGTAAAAAATTCTCGGGGCGCCTGGGTGGCTCAGTCGGTTGAGCATCTGACTTCGGCTTCGGTAATGATCTTTCAGTACGTGAGTTTGAGCCCTGTGTCGGGCTCTGTGCTGACAGCTCAGAGCCTGGAGCCTGTTTTGGATTCTGTGTCTCCCTCTCTCTCTGCCCCTTCCCTGCTCATGCTCTGTCTCTCTCTGTCTCTCAAAAATGAATAAATGTTAAAAAATTTTTTTTTTAAAAATTCTCTCATTTTTTCTAGTGCTTTTATAATTTTTCTTTTTTTTAACTCTAATATTTGATCTAGAATTTAATTTGGTTAAGTATATTAGGTATAGATCCAACATTATCATTATTATTATTTTTTTTCTCTACTGGAGAACCCAGTTGTCCCAGTGTCATTGATTGAATCTCCAGCCACACTTATTTTTGTAGGTTTATGTCTATTTTCTTATTATTTAAAAATTATTTTAAAAAATTATATGAGTGTTATATACAAATTCAATCTCACGGTAAAAAATTCAATCAGTAATGAAATGGATAGTTTAAAAAAGGGGGCCTTTGCTTCTCTTCTTCCCATTTCCTCACACTTTTTTGAGATAATCATTGTTAACAGATCACTGAGTATTGCATTTATATCTTTTTATACTACGTGTGTGTGTGGGGGGGTGTGTATGTATGTGTAGACACATGCATATATCTCATATGAAGTTTGGGATATGGAGATTATCTCTATTTCTGTCTGATTACATTATATGTAATAGGCTGTAAATTGCTTCTTTCACCACTAACTCTGTCGTATAGTTCTGTGATAGTCCATAGAGCTATACCTCATTCTTCCTAACCTCTGCTTGGATTCCACAGTATGAATGTATCATACTTGATTTAACTACTACCCTATTGTTACTCATTTGGTTGTTTGCAATTTTTTCCTAATTTTATCAGGGCTGTATATATACATATATATATATATATATATATATATATATAT